CCTCCTCCTCCTCCTCCTCCCTGGCAGGCACTGACCTTTTCAGGTACCCCAGCCGTCTTGCTGTGACCACAGATCACGTTGCCAGCCAGCCCGGGGTTGTAGCTGAGGCAGTCCCTGGGTGTGACGATGGTGACAGTGGCCTCRTGGAAGGTGACAGTGGCCGTCCCGTAGCCCCAGCCGGCCACGCTGCACTCGGCGCCGCCACGGACTCTGGATTTCTGGATGGAAATGGGTCTGACGTGGCTGTTGGTGGTGGCATTGCCCTTCAGCTGTGTGAGGGGACACAAAACACTCCAATGAGTGCCAGCCCTGTCACTGCTCTGTCCCCTGCTGCTCCGGGAGCCCCAGCCAGGTCACCTTCAGCAGCAGGATGTCGTTCCCGTTCCTGGGGTTGGTGAAGGMTGGGTGCCTGTGGTAGCTCTCCACCTCGAAGGTTTGCCAGCTCTCCTCTCTCCTCTGGAGCGTTTGGGCTCCCAGGATGACCGTCAGGGGTTTGTGGCTGGGGGGATCAAGGACAGAGGGGTCAGCAGCTTGGCCCTGCCTCGCCTGGCAGTGCTGAGGCTCATGTCCCTCAGAAAGAGAGACCCTGCACACGCCCATGGTGTGTATATTTCTATACAGAAATATATATGTATATTTATTTTGTATATTTCTATACAGAAAATCCATTTTAAATTCATTTTTGAAGAAGAATGGTGGGAGCAAGGTGCTCCCTGCCAATGAATAAATTCGCCTGGGAGTGCTGAGGCTCATTTCCCTCAGAAAGAGAGACCCTGCACACACCCATGGTGTGTATAGCATGTATTCCCTATACAGAAAATGCATTTTAAATTCATTTTTGAAGAAGAATGGTGGGAGCAACGTGCTCTGCCAGTGAATCTGCCCAGCCCAGAGCAAGCTCCCATTGACAGACCAGATAAAGTTTATCTCCAAATCTCAGTCTGAGCATATTTGGTCCAAAGTTGCTTCTTTGTTATTCTGGGTTTCACAAGCCCAGGGAAGTCCAGGGGTTTCTAAATCAGGAACCTTCTATGTCCTTTGCATCCCCAGGAGAAGGTGCTGCTTTGGGAAATTTGGAAAGGTTTTTGAGTCCCTCCCAATCCCYCAGGTGAGGTTTGGCCATCCCAGCTCCTGGGCTCTGCTGGTTCTCCCTTTTCCCACCCAGCTGTGGGGCCTGGGTCTCTGTCACCAGCCCTGGGCTGTCAGATGTGTGCACATCTGGAAAAATCCCTCCTGCCCATCCATCCCCCAGCTGGAGAGGTGGGAAAGGACTGGGCAAACTGCTGGTTCCCAGGAAATAATTCCAACAGCCCTGAAAAAATTGGTGGCAGAAAGGGCAAAGCCTGGCCAGTCTGAAAAAGCCACTCTGACCTCCCATTGCTGACATCCAAGAAAAAATTAAACGAGTCATGGAAGGGGGATTAAAAAAAAATCAGAATAAGCATCTGGGGTGGGCTGGGGGGGCTCAGCGCTGTCCCCACCCAGGGACAGACAGAGCCTGGCCATGGCTGAAGGGGCTCCAGCTGTGAGATTTTCACGCAGGAGATGTTCCCCAGGCCGTGGTGGAGCTGATTCCTCAGGAAAGGTGCTGTGATGACCCCAGCAAAGACTCACTCGAGGCACTGCGCCGCCGTCACYACCCAGCCGGGCGCCAGCAGGAATCCCCCGCAGAAATTGTCGTCCTTCCCCTGCAGAAATGCCAGGTAGGGCGTGGGGTGTGCCCTGGAGGGTGGCCTGGCTTCTCCTCCTCCCTCCCTCCAGCTCTGGGGGTGATCTGGAACAAAGGGGATTGAGGATGATGGGGTTGGAGGGCACGGAGGTGAAATCCATCCATCCCCAGCCCCATGTGGCCTCCAGCCCGCTCTACTTACTGGTGCTGACTGGGGGACACAGCAGCAGCAGGASGGGGAGCAGGAACGTCTGCAGCTTCTCCATGGTGGCCTTCTGGGCTTCAGCAGGTCCCTCAGAGGTGGGGCAGCTTCTGGGGTCCTTTCCTGCTCCCAGCGAGGTTTTATAGCCTGACACCAGACTCCAGGAAACCACAGCAGGCAGACTCATCGGAAGAATCTCTCCACAAGCTGCATGYCTCAGCAATGTGAGAGGGGAATTCAGCCAACCTTGGCCTTGGGCACCAACCCACCTTCATCATGGGTCTCATCTGAAGGATCTGACGTCCTTCTAAACCCAAAAGTTAATTTTAGAAAGTTGCCCTTGTGCTGGAAGTTRTGTGGAAGCTCCATCATCCCCACCTCTTMCAMTTCCAGAGAGATCTTCCCTTGCAGSTTCTGTTTTTTGTCAAAGCACTCGCAAAACCTCTTGATTTTAATCACCAGCCCTACATGAGCCGGATGCATCRGTGCCAAARAMYRTGCAGGGACAGGTGAGGASCCTCCTGCTGTCCCTCAGTGGATGCAAAATTGCTGTGGATGTGTCCTTAATATGGAATTGATGATATTGGGAAGGAATTCTTGGCTGTGAAGGTGGTGAAACCCTGGCACAGRTYGCTYATGAATGGCTGYTCCATCCYTAAAAGTGTCCAAGGCYGGGTTGGACRGGGTTTGGAGCACCCTGGGATGGTGRAATATCCCTRCCATGGCARAAGGTGGGATGGGATGATCCCTTCCCATCCAAACCATTCCAGGATTTCCCAGATTGACCAAATTTTGAACATTCACAGCTCGGCTGTGACGAAACATGGCCTGGCTGCCGGTAAATCTGCCTTCCCCCTGCCCCCAGTGCCACGGGCAAACCCCACCTTTGAGCTGCGATTTACCATTCTCGTGCAAAGCCTGCAGCAGCTGGAGCTTCGAGGAAAACCCTGACGTGACAGAGATTTGCAAGGCACAGATAAGCAGCTGCAGCCTGTTCACTTGCAGATTTCYGAGCTGATAGCAGCTGCGAGCACAAACCCAAACATGGACCCTTCTCTCTATCCCCAGGGCAGCTCGAAAGCACAGGTGATGCATTTTCCCTTCATCCCGGGCAGGAATGTGGGGGATTTATGAGCAGAAGTGCRGGATGGGCTGTGGAAATCTGTTCCTGTGATGGAGGTGACTGATGGGACACTGAGAAAGGATGTGAGAGCAGATCCAGAGCTCCTTTCCTTTGGTTTTCATCTGTTTAAAATTCCCCACCGTTTTTTCCCACCGCAAACCGACCCAGCCTGCTCCTGACATCACTGAAATCCGTCATTCATCCCCTGCCAGGGATCCCCCAGAGCCTTCCCCAGGAAACTCTGGCTCTCCCTGCACTCGGGAGATGCACAGGAGAGAGGAGGATGAAGGAGAGGAAGGTTCAGATTCCASTCTGAAAACACCTCCCGAGCATCCTTTGAGGGGAGGATTTCTCTGTGGGCATCGTCAGGCTGAGGGGAGAGCTTTGGGGGTTTGCAAAAACCCCTAATGAAGGGCCAAAATGTGCCAAGGAGCTTCACAGCGGCCAAACCCCAACCTGGGGGCTCATCCCTGCCTTGCCCAGAGCCGGGAGGAAAGGAGGATGTGGCTCAGGGTCAGGCATTTGTGTGAACCCAGGTCCTTTTTGGGTGAACCCAGGTCCTTTTTGAACCCTTTGACCCTTTGGGTGTCTCTGCCCAGCAGAGGGTGAAGGGCTGTGACAAACGGCAGCAGAAGGGGTGTGACAGCTGAGATTGGGCTGTGCCATCCCTCAAGGACCCAAAAACCCCGTCCTTGGTGCCTCAACAGCCTCCTGGCCACACCCGAGGGCACAGTCCACAGAAAGTCCAGCCCGAGGAGCCTCCTGGAGCTGAACAAACAGGGAAGATAAGCCCRGAGTGCCCTGTGACCGTGCTGTGCCCTGGTGCCACCCTCCCCCGGGCACAGGGAGGGGCACAGAGTGGCAGTGACAGCTTTGGGGTGCTGGGGATGGCTGATGTACCCCAATCCGAGCTCCCAGGGGGTGACAACGGCGCTGAATGCAGAGTGCACCCCTCGCTTTTCACAGAATATCTCAGTTTTTGTCACATCACCCCGGGAAGGGCAGCCACCCCTCTGGTTTCTGCCGGCGATTTGGGGCACAGGGCTGTGCCTGTGCCATCCCAGCAGCCCAGACTGTCACCCAAACCCTCCCTCCTTCGCCCCGTGGCCACAAAAAACGCGACAAAGTCCGGGAGATGCAGCTCTGAGTTTATTGGGGATGATTTAGGTGCGGCAGGGTGAGGGCAGGAGCGGGGTTATCTCTGAAGAAGTGGGTTCTGCTGTGGCACAGCCTCTCTTTGTGCCATCTGGGGCCACCCCCGCTTCTGCCAGGGTGATTTACACAGCCCTGGCATGGACAGGGAACGGGACAGCGACCTCAGGACAGAGTGAAAGGGACCCACAAGCGCCCTGATGGGGTCACTCGGGCTCCCGAGGACAGAGGAGGGAGCTGAGCCTGCGGGAAGGGCAGGAATGAAGCTGTTGGAGCCTCCAGCAGGGCTGGAGCAAACTCTGCCACCGCCRCTACTCCTTCATGACCTTTCTGATCCAGGGCAGGTAGTTGGAGATGCGGGTGTAGACCCCGGGCGGGGCGGGATAGCCGAAGGAAACGATGCCTTGGGCCACTTTATTGCACACCAGGGGCCCGCCAGAATCCCCCTGGGGAGAGAGGAGATGGATTTTTGATCGGGAAATGGGTTTGGGAACGGGTTTGGGAATGGGTTTAGGAACGGGTTTGCTCCTGGTCTGTTCTGCCCCACATCCCACCCAGCTGTGGCTCTGCCCTGGTGCTGTCAGGACATCCAGGGGGTCAATCCAAAAATGGGAATTGTGTTTAAGGGCTCATCACCTTCCCTGGGACCCATCTGAGCATCTCCTGCCCCCCATGCCCTCCCCGTACCTGGCTGGAATCCTTCAGCTGGTGGAAGCTGCCAGCACAGACCATGCCCGAGTCCAGGTGGGGGTAGAAGAGGGTGCATTTCCTGCGGCTGTAGATGGACACTCGGGTCTCAAAGAGCTTGTTGGTGGCCCTGTCCTCGTCGATCAGCCCCCAGCCGGCGATCAGACACTTGGTGCCTGTGGGGAGGTCGCTGCTGGATTTGGGCAGGGGGATAGTCTTGACGTACTCGTTGAGAGTGACCTTGGAGGTCAGCTGGGGACAGAGTGTGAGCTGGACAATTTCTGAGCAGGGGCTGTGGGGCTGGCAGGTGCTTGCCCACAGCATCTGGACCCACTGGACACTGTGACTGGTCACTGCTGAGTGATTCAGGCCACCCAGAGGGGACAAACGCTGTGACATCTGTCCCCTTCCCACAGTCCCCATTTCCACCTCAGCCCAGCAATGCTCTGGCACTGGGGACCCGCTGTTCCTGCTGCTGGGGCACTGGGGAGTGCCAGGCTGTGGCTGGGCACCCACAGCTCCTCTTCACCTGCAAACAAATCCTTTCCCTCCTCCCTCCATCCCTGCCATGCCCAGCTCTGGGAGATGCTGTAAAAACCACCCCAAACCTCACCCATGGCTCCTTCCCTGCTCCCTCCCATCCCTGTCAGTCTCCTTCAGACAGAAACAGCTTTGCAGAAGGCTCCAACATCCACGACAAGCTCTTCCCAGCCCCTTTCAGCCCCCCAGCCCCATCCCACCCCTCTGCCCCTGCACAAATCCTTGCCTGGAGCAGCATGATGTCGTTGTACATCGTCTCGGGGTCGTACTCGGGGTGCTCRTAGTATTTGAGGACTCCCCTCACCTGCTGGGTTTTCTCTGGTTTGTGGACGTCGTGAGCCCCCAGGATGACCGTGGTGTTCCTGGCCACGTGGAGGGGACAAAGGGGTGTCACCCACCCCCTGATTTGGGCAGAGGGGTGGACAGGGACAGAGGGGTGGACAGGGACAGAGGGGTAGACAGAGCAGCCCAGCACAGGGGGAAACTGCTCTGGAATTATCACTCTGAAGTTACCCCACAGGCCAGGGGGACAAAGAAGGGGACCCCCCTAGAGGGTACTCACCCCATGCAATGTGCAGCTGACATCACCCAGTCAGGGGCCACCAGGAAGCCCCCGCAGTGGCCCAGGTCGGCCACCTTCAGGAACGCCATGTAGGGGTGCGAGTGGGGCTGTGCCTCGTGGCCCCCCACGATCCCATCCCGCACAGGACCTGCAAAACCCCCCAGCACAGCATGAGCCAGGGGCTGCTGACAGCCAAAAACCCCAAAAAAGAGCCCCCCTCACCCCCAGCAATGCCCMAGCTCACTGGTGCTGGCCCACGGGCAGCAGAGCAGCAGCAGCAGGGCGGGCAGTGCCCGGGGTTGGCACATTTCTGCCATGGCTGGATGCTCCTTCCTGGACCTGTGGAAGCCTGGAGTCTCCACGAGGCCAGGGGCTGGTTTTATAGCCAGCCCAGCAGCCAGGAAGCCATGTGCCAGGGGCTGATTGTGCTAATCTGGGCATCCCTGGCCCACGCTGCTCRGTGCCCACGTGCCCGTGGCTGTGATGGATGGGTGATAACACAGGACAGAAAAGTTTGGGCAGAGAATCTGGCTGTGTACAGGGCYCCAGGCAGACAGAGAGATGTCCTGCTGTGGTTTTGAGGTGTGATTTAACATTTCTGCCACTGTT